TTTGAAAGCTGCTGATAAACTCAATGCTCACCTTATTGACCACTTGTCCAATGGCTCCGCTCCAGCTGCCGTTCACCTCGTAGCCCCAGTCGTCGCCGCCGTAGACTAGATTTGAGGAAAAGTTAAATTTGACTGCCAAAATGGCCAGCAGATCCATTTCAATGGACTGGCCGTCAACTGAGGCGGTAACATTGTTCTTGTCCACCTTTATTCGGCAAAAAGGGTGCCACTGATTTGATATCACAACAAAAGGATTATTAAGTTTTTTATTCTAACAGTTTTTGTAAAAATAGTTACATTGTTTACTGAAACATTCAGTGTGGCGCCAAGCAGATTAATAGTAGAGCTCATTTTGTCAAAATAAAATTAGATTTTTTGTAAAAAAATACAACTAAAGCACTTTACGTTTAGTTTTATTCAAACTAAATTATTTCTATTTTTATTTGTTGTTTATTAATTCATTTTGCTGTTTGCATAATTTTGTTTATTTACAACTACAAATGCTAAAAGTCTATATGATTGTCTTTTGCATATAAATTAGTATTTGAAAAATAAAACTTTACTTGCAAAAAACACTCAAAAATAAGTTATTGTACTGAAACACTTCCTCTTATTTGCTTACAAGCATTTTTACAAAATTAACTGAAAAAATTAAGTGATAGGAAAATCTAAAACTCACACCATTTCATTTTGCGTAAATGAAAGTTCCCACACTACTTTGGACAAATATAGCCAAATTTTTCCTTATAAGTTGAAAATAAAACTTGCTAGTTGTTTTAACATATTCATTGAAACAAATTGGTTTTGTGTTTTAGCTAATCAACAATGTCAAACCAAGAAATGGCTAATCTAATTGCATCAGTTCGCCAGCAACTGCATCCAGAGTTCACCATCAACCAAGAGCTCTATGAACCATTGGACATTGAGCGCATCAGCACCGATGACTGGTCAGTGGAGCGATTCATCATCGAGAAGAAGCTGTCCACTGCTGACGCCGTTCAGATGATCAAGGAGACAATGCAGTGGCGACACTACCTCCGCCTGACTACTCTAACTGAAGCACACTTTCCGCGGGAATTCTACCTTCTGGGGACGGCCTTCTCCAGCGGATCATTTGACCGAGAGGGCAACGGTCTGCTCTTTCTTCGCACCAAGTTCCACCAAAAAATGGAAGAGATGAAGTACCTCGGAGAGCAGTACACCGCATTTATGGTGGAACAGCTGGATCGGAGTTTGGGCCGCAATCGAGGCGTGACCATTGTCTTTGATGCCTCCAATTCGGGATACGCCAATTTGGACATGGAGTCACTGGGGCGGCTGGTACAGGCCATCAGCCAGTACTTTCCCTGTGGACTGAAACGGCTGCTCGTATATGAGATGCTCTCCATCTTCAGCGGCCTCTGGAGCGGTATCATCAGTCACTGGCTGCCGGCGGAGTTCTGCAGCAAGGTCGTCTTTGTGAACCGCAAAACGATTGGCAGCTACATCTCTGAAGAGGATCTTCCCTTTTACATGGGCGGAAGGTGTATGGTAAATCCTCACGCCGTTCCCGAGGGATGCACTCGGTCTTTTGCAGAGTGGGGCGGCGTTTCCAGTCCAGAGGTGGAGGGCAACAAGTTCAGTGAGAAGGCAATCAAGAAGGCCTTTAAAATGTGGAAGCCAATGATGGAGATGGCGAAACGTGAGGAGAAAGAGCTTTTTAATGCAATATCTTCTGAAAGTGGATTGTAATTGACACTTGTTTTGAGTTTCAAAAGTTTACCGCCTCACATCCACGAATTCAATGTTGTGTAGAAAAAATAGTGT